TTAGGGGGGAAATGGAAGTAAATAACAAGGAGTACATGAAAGAAGAAAACATTCTAAAATTGATTGTGGTAATGATTGTACAACCCTTCTTGATATGCCTGAATTACTGAATTATATGATATGTGGATTATGTCCCAATAAAACTGTCTAAAAAATAAAATAAATACATGCTCATTCCCATCCCTAGGTAGTAAGATTTGAGAAGCAATATAAGGTGCATCACACCCTCCCTCTTCTTGAAAATCTGTCCTGGGACTTTCACAGTGACAAAGGGGCAATGGAATTACAGAGATGTAGGAAATCAAGCAGAAGTGATACCATACAGCACTGAGGCAAAAAAGGAAAAGACGGACTCGTCGAAAGGCCTTAAAATACTCATTTTCTTCTAACTGTGTACAGGATTTGGATATGTAATGAAGCCATTGCTGCCCTAAATGTGTTAATAATACATATAGAACATCACATGTACTATGTTAAAGAGTACAATCTTGTGGCACTTTATCCTTGCACAATGTCTACAACCATCACCACAATCTCATTCCAGAACATGTGTATCCCCCATTAGGAAAGCCTGCACCCAGGAAAGAGTCATGCTCCAGCCCCTGGAAGCCGCTAACCTCTGTAAATTTGCCTATTCTGGACATTCCACAGAGATGGAATCACACATGTCCTTTTATGCCTGCTTTCTTTTAGTGGGTCTTATATCTTCCAAGTTCATGTTCACTCTATTTTATAGTCCAATAAGATTCCACTCTCTGGATATTTCGCCTCTTGTTTGTCTCCTCACCAGCTGATGGACACCTGACTTGTTTCTACCCTTTATGAATGTCGAATAACACTGCCAGGAACCTTCTTGTAAAAGTTTTGGTTTGAACATTAATTTTCAATTCTTTTGGATATACATTTGGAAGTGGAATTGTGTAACTTATGGTAACACAATTGGTAACTCTGTGTAACTTATGAACACAGCACCAACCGTCTGCCACAATGGCCAGACCACAGAGCACCCACAGCACATGTACAAGGGTTCTTATTGGTCCACAGCCTCACTAAACACAGAATTTCCTTTCTTTTTTTTTTGGCGGGGGGAGGTGAGTGGGGTGGAGAAGAGTATATAGATTTCTTTATTAGAGAGTTTACCACAGAGAGATGACATAAAATGATAAATAATAGACAATAGGTAAAAACAAGAACAAAGAACAAGACCGGATAGGTTGCGGATAACCAATGAGAAACATAAGCTACACAGGTCATGAAGGGCCAATTCTGACATGGGAGTAGTTCATGAGAGATGACGGTCACTATCAGCTTTACAAGTGCCTCCAGTTGCCCCAGTGCTCCCTGGTACTAGCCCTAGCCATCCCTGCTGATGTCGTTAGGACAGCCCAACTGTCTCTGCGGCATACTGCTCAATCACAATTTGCTGACTAAATGGATGCCAGAATGAGTGAGTCAGCAGCTTTATCAATCCAATCTAACAGAATTATGAATGTGGCTTTCTGTACTGTGATGCCAGATTAAATTGGTTTTCAATCACTATTACTATAAGTGCCAAATTTTTCTTCTTAGAACTAAGATTCACAAATAGCCACAAAAATAATATAAGAGCAAGGTTATTGCTATTACTCAATAACAGGAGTCAATAAAATACACAACAAGAGGGAGAAAGAAATCAAGGAGCAGGTAAAGGGTAAACTACTGGGGTATTTGATTAGTAGTTTAAGCTGTTGAATACAAAGTAGATGATTAGAAATGTAAACCCTCTCCTAATTTACAAAAAAAACATCGTTAAAATAAAATAAAATCTGGGCATAAGTTTAAAATATATAAAACAAAATTACATTAATACTTAATCTTGGCAAGAAAATTATAATTTTTTTTGCAAAAGTGATAAATTATTCAATCAAAAGACATAAAAACATTTTTAAATTATTCATATAAAGAATGTAATTATACTAAGAAAAATTTTAGTATGTACAAACCAAAAATTTCTTTTGTGTTTTTCAATCTGGCTCCACGAAGCAAGAGACTTTCTGGGCCCAGGGGTCTAGGAAAAAAACAAAACAAAAAGCAATGGCTATATTAAAGTTTCAATCCAGTTCTAAAGTAGCATTTTAGTAGAGGACACTTAAGCTATAGTTAAAACACTGCTTTAATATAAAACTCCCAGTTACTATGATAGGTTTAAGTGGATCATGTTAGTCTGTAACAAGAAATACTTGCAATCACTTTAAGATTAGTGGCTCAGAAATAAGATTACATCTATAAATAAACTCACAAAACCACCAGTTTCAAAATTTTAAAATGTCAAGTACCAGAAAATCAAAGATAAGCAATGGCTAAAATGTTTTAGCAGCAGATGAAATTTTAAGCAAAATTAATAAACAGCTCTGAAAGGAAAAACACAGAATTATGAAGTGATGTGAACACAAAACGTAGTATGATTTGTACGTGACTGCATGAGTTTTCCACAGGTAAAATTAAGCTGGATTACAAAAGATGATGTAGAGCGTGAGTTAGTGCTTTGTCTAGGAGGCTTGCACGGGACAACTTGACTACTTGCACTGCGTAGTTCTTGGAGCACTGGTCTTCTTGCGGTTTGAGTTTCTCTCCATAAAGGAGACATAAAGCGAGAAGAATAACTAGAAAGAAAATGGTATTTTCTTAGTGGTAAAAAAGTGGTAAGAATTTGCTATGGATATGTTCCTTAAAATAATGTCTTTTATTTTGTTGGTGTTCCTTGTGATTTTATGAAACATGCACACATGGTTATCTAAATTAAACACAATCTGAGCCAATTATGAAGACGCCTAAAAACTCAAACATTATTTAAAACACAAATGCAGTGAACATGGTCAGGCATTTGGGAAGTGGTTTAACAGGTGTGGTCATGCTAAACTGTTATGCTCAGGGCACACTTTAAGGCGAGTCCTGAACTAATGTGGCAAATACAATGCTTCAAGAGCCACCCAGCACTTCTGTACTGCTCCAACCATCAACAGAAATGCTCTGAGTCACAGCAGCATATGAAACTGGGCAGAAGTGCTTGAAAGTTTCAGATTAAAATAATTCATCATTCATTCCGTTATTTCAGCAAAGAACATGGCTCCTTTTAAACCACTCTAAGAGCTCAGGTAACAAAACTGCTCTTCACCCCTAAAAGCTACCTTAATGTAATTCCGATTAGCTAGCCATCCATTTTCTACTTACTATAAAAATTCCAATAAACCTTCATCACAGTTACTCAGCAGGGTCCTACATACAAATATTTTGTTGCACAGTTAATCAAGCACATTTCTGTTTAATGTCTCTTAAAGATGTGAATCTTTACATAAACAAATTTGGTGGCTTGTCTTGAGCATTTCAGTTGAAAAATGCTTAATTATTTATACTAGTGAATCTTATTGCATGCCACCAGTATAAATTAAGCCTGACCTCAAAAGAGACATGGAAGGCCAAGTTGACTTTAGATTCAAAGACTGATTCTAAAGATTCTAAGATCGAGTCTAAGGAAGACCCAGTGGTCATGAGTAACAGTGGAATCTCATGCCACCAGCAGTTCCTGGAAATGGCACCAAGCCTCTCATTTAGGACCAGAATTGAATCCGGAATATTGAGTGAAATGAAACAAGCCAAAACAATCAGAGGTGTGAGGTTCCTAATTAGTCATTAAATATTCTAGCTTATACTGAATGATTTAAAAGTGAAGACCATTACTGTTTATTTTTGTTACACAGTATAGAGAGTATTTTTTATATTTTAGATCTTCAGTGCTGTGGGTTTAAATATTTAAGGATCTGAATAAGAATTCTGATTCGGTCTAATGTTGCCATATTTACCTATCAGAAAAATAAATGGAATTTCAAAATAATCTTATTACCATATATACTAGAATATCAGTCAAAGCACCTAATTTTACAACAAAAACTGCATTAAAAATGTGCTGCAAAACTCAGCTTGCACACGAGTATATACTGTAAATTTTTTATACTGTTTTCATGGCTTTTGTCTATTCTCACTTGCTGCTGCTGCTATAAAATGTAAGATAAAATGCTAAAAAAGAAAATTAGCCATTTGCCACAATAATACTTGTTACCTATTTTCCCTTTAGCTTGATTTTATTCCCTCTGCCAAAGAGTTTTTGTTTAAAAGTAACAGATCACGCAGACTGATTCTTACCTTACGATTTCTTCCATTTGCTGAGTTATTATCATTCTTCCCATGAACCTATCAAGAAATGCACCATGTTACCAAAAAAACCACCACTTGTTAACAATATAATGTCACACATCAATGGGCGGGAAACAATACATAGTGTTGGTTGATACTACTTTTATATATGAGACAAAATCTAACTTTTCTATGTATGAGTGGTCCAACAGTCTTGCTAAAAATGATAAAATATTCATCAGTCTGTACATTTTAAAACTTTTGATATTCTTGCCATCTTTCTTCCAGCTATGAATGAGGTAAAGAATGAAAAATGGTTTTAAAATGGTAATGTTATATTACTATTATTTTTTTCATGTGTCATCATGAGAATTTAGGATTGCCACAGAAATTATTTTTAGCACTACCTGGCCAACCATAAATGGCTGCATATTTCATTATTATTTTCCAAATAAACACTGCAGTGACCCGTGGATCAATGGAACCACTCAATTTACCACTCATCTCATTCACTCAACAAATACTATCTACTAGATGAGTAATAAGAACAGAGTAGTAAGCAGAAACTTGGCAGTAGGTTGTGAAGCCTTTTAACACAATAGTCATAGTTAAACTTTTAGTTGCCTGAAACTAGAATGAGTGGCCTATTATGATACAGATTTTCATAGTCTGGTCTTTCAGTTCCAACTACCATCGCCAAAATAGCTCCAAAGTATGAAGTCAATTTATGTATAAATAGCTGTAAAATGATCTATCATTTTAATATTATGGAACGCCTTTGTAATAGTTATGCTGGGCAGGAGCCCAGGTGGCATAGTGGGTTATGAACTGGGCGGCTAACCACAAGATTAGCAGTTCAAAACCACTGACTGCTTTGAGGGAGAAAGACAGGGCTTTCCACGCCCATCAAGAGTTACAGTCTCGGAAACCCACGGGGGGCAGTTCAACTGTCCAACAGGTTGCTGTGGTTCAGAACTGACTCCATGGCAGTGGCTTATGTGAAAGCTGTAGTAAGAAACCCCTGTCTCCTGGGCTGCTGCGAGGCTCATCTGCTATGTGCACTGACGATGGCTGGCCGATGTGTGAGATCAAGGAAACTACTGACACTGCAAAGTCCTTATATTCTTATCAAAGTCCTTATATTCTTATCAGAGCATAGGCTACTACTGATACTGACAAAATTCCTCTGATGTTTGATTAAGTGCAAGCTGAATTCTCTTTGCCAGGCACCAATATTCATTCCATTGACCTTCTCCAAACAAGCATAGGAAAATTCCATCTGTCCTTAGAAGTCTGGAGAGGTCTGCTAAGAAGCACTGGTCCCAGATTTCCCACTGGTTCCTACAGGTTCACATGGGAGGGGGCTTGGAAACAGTTTGCGAAAAATTCCATTTTTCTATGAACTTTTTAAAGGTCCCTCAAGAAGCTACAAATATTTCCTGTAACATTGCCCATAATAAAAAAAACAACAAAAAAACATTTAAAAAGCTGCTACACACACAAATCAAAATAGTGTGTGGTAACATAATTCAGTAGTGAACACAAAGATGCTTTAAGCCCTTGCTTTTGTGCTGCTTAAAAAAAAAAAATCCTAATTTTTTTTCTAAAGAAAAAAATCTTACTTGTAATTAACTTCTGCTACAGTGAACTTGTACTTGCTAATTGTTAACAAAGTAGAAGGAGATGGAAAAGCACTAGTGAATAAAAGCACTGTTCTTATATTAATATCTTCTGCTTAGAGTTCAGCCTTTAGTTTTTTGTTTTTCCTCTCAATGCCACCCCTCCTCCTCTCTTGCAATGTCTTCAGTTAGCTGAAGATGCCAACGCAGGTTTCTGCTTTTCTCCCTGCGGACTGAGCCCAGGGCTGACGAGGGACATGAGGAATAGCACACCAGACCTGTATAAGTCGGCTTCTGGTTGCTGGCACTCTATCACAGCCACCAGGGTGTCCAAATTGGCAACGGTCTGTAATACTGCTGTTTCGGGAACTGCCACGTGTGTCTGGTGGGGAAAGAAATAATAAACTGTATTAATTTCAAGACGCCAAATCATCTATTTCAGACATTTTTTCAGAGACGAAATCATGGCACCCTGGACTTGAGAGCACCCCGCTACACAGCAAAGAGTGGCGAGGGAAAGTGTGTAAAGAAGCAAGAAGCAAAAGAAGCTTCCGGATAATTACCCATTTACAGAGGCCTTTTACATATATTTGTGTGCTAGTCATTACTACTCAAAGCTAATGAAAGGCATTGTATTATTTTAATAGGAAAAGGCATACACTTTCAATAATTATGATCTTAAAACAGAGAAAATTCAAATTTGTCCCTCAAAATCATTAAGAATATTAAAAAAGTTTTATTGCTATTTTTCATCATATTGAATTGGTTGAACCATATGAGGTTACTGAGAGATAAATATAAGCAACATTAATTCTTCCTGAAGAAATAAAAAAAACTTTTTCCTCCTCTATTAGGCCCAGCTTTATTACCTTAACCAAAGGAAAACATTGCTATAAACCCAAAGAAGCTTCATTTACCAAGAGCAACTCTCAGACAGACATGAACAAACCTTCAGGTTCGTTTCTCCGTCCAAACTAGCAGTGGTAACATGGCACGAGCCGTCAAGTCGGTCTGAAGACAGAAGCACTAGGTCTGCAGGGAAAGTTTCATCTTTGGCGATTCGAACAATATCACCCACCTGTGAAAAATTTCAAGCAAAGTCAATAAGCCAGTTCTAAAAGACAAAGATTAACTGGCAGTGTAACAAGTGGCCTGTCACAGTGTTTTCATGCAGGAGAGCAGGCCTTTCATACCGTCTGAAATGCGGTCAGATTAGAATTAAGGGCTTTGATACCAAAATATAACTGATTCCTATTATTTATCAGATGCATACCCGAATATTTTTTGATCTAGTTTTTACAAGGCCACCACTTCGAACAACATAAACAGGTGCTCCATTTACTTCATTATCTGAGTTATGTCGTAACCAATCTTCATATCCCTGTAAATATCCAAAGAAGAAAAAATAGCCTTTCAGTATAATTTGAAGAGACTTTAAGCAAGAGAATAACAAGCAAGCAGAAACATGTAACATTTCATCAAATAGAAGTATCTTGGGATATTTTGATGCATGCACTCATAAATTTGCAACATTCATTTTTACTGGAAACACTTTCCTTCTTGATACATGTGTTCCTAGTTCCAGTTGCCACTGAGTCAGTTCTGATCAGAATGACCCCTGGCGTGCTGAACAACACGCCAGTGGAATGGTGCCCCACAGGACTGCCAATGCCGAATGCTTCAGAAGAAGAGCCTCTGGCCTTCCCTCTGAGGCGGCTGGACTTGAGGCTTGAATCGTTAGCTTAGCAGCCAGGTTTGTTACGCATTTGCACCACTGAAGGTCACCCCTCTCTAGTTCTCAATTTCTTGGTGAGAAGCTCCTTCTTTATCAGCTTTGAGGACCCTTTACTAATCCTTCACTCTCCCTAGGAGTTATTTTCTAGTCATAGAAAACAGCATAACTATGCTGTTAATTCTGAAATTTATACCTCCAGCCTATAATGCTCGTCTGGATACCAGACTTGGTTACCCAATGATATTCTTAATATCTCTACCTTTTTGTTTTATAAATACCAGAAACATAACCACCAAAACTGAACAGATGGCACCATCCCCACTCCTCTCCCCACTGCCAAATATTACATTTCCAGTGTTTCCCATTGTGGCAAATGACTTCAGCATCTACCAAGATGCTCAAGCCAGACATCTGGGGAGTCATCCTTGACACCGACCTCTTCCTAACACCTATTCAATCACCAAGTTGCACCGTAATCATAGAATGTAATTTCACAGAATGTTATTATAGGTGATAAACAGAAACAACAGAACCAACTCTGAAACTGAGGTTGAACGGTTTGACCTTTTAATGCAACAGATACTAGAGCCTTTCCTATTTGGATACAAGTGCAGGGTAAAGGCCAACTAAAGAGGGAAGAAAGGAAGATTAGGGACATGCCAATTTTTTTTAAATCATTTTATTAGGGGCTCCTACAACTCTTATCACGATCCAAACAAACATCAATCTTAAAACATTTCCTCTCCACTTAAACCCCCGGCATTAGGTCCTCATCCACCACCACCCCCAACTCCCCGCTCCCTCATGAGCCCTTGATAATTTATAAATTATTATTTTGTCATATCTTGCCCTGTCCGACGTCTCCCTTCA